GTGCCACATCTGGCTTGTGGGGAGCATTTGCAGTAGTGCTTTACATGATTTATAACTGTGGCTTATAGACTCATTGAGCACAAAGTACATACAGGATCAAGGTCTAGACAGGAAGATTATCTCTGTATTCACAGGGCTTGGCAAATAATAGAAATTCAATAAACATTTTTTTTTTTTTTGAAACAAAGTCTTGCTTTGTTGCCAGGCTGGAGTACAGTGGCGCGATCTTGGCTCACTGCAACCTCCAACTCCCTAGCTGAAGTGATTCTCCTGCCTCAGCCTCCTGAGTAGCTGGGACTACAGGCGCCCCCCCCCCCGCCACCATACCTGGCTAATTTTGTATTTTCAGTAGAGACGGGGTTTTGCCATGTTGGCCAGGATGGTCTCGATCTCCTCACCTTGTCATCTGCCCTCCTTGGCCTCCCAAGTGCTGGGATTACAGGTGTTAGCCACCGCACCCAACCTATAAACATTTCTTAAGCAAGTGAAAGGAAAAGTGCACTGGAGGCTCTGACCTTATACGCACCAGGATCCGTGAGTATAAATATGAGTACCTCACATCAACTACTGAGGTTATAAACAAGTGGGCAGGTGAGAGTTTGTGGGAGGATGCTGGTGACCAGCCACCTCCTGTCCTTTAGTTAGGCTTGTGACACTGGAGAAACCAAAGCAGTACCACCAGACACTGGGTCAGGGCTGAGGAGGAGAAGCAAAAGGACACAGAGAGAATAGGACAGGCTGTCTTTCAGTTGCTTACAGTCTAGCTGGACACACAGGACAAGTGGGAGTGAGGTGGAATAGGTTGCCCCTCACCCAGTGCTGGTTTCGCTGGTGTCACACGTATCACAATACTGTCATTAAAAATTTTTTTAGGCCAGGCAAGGTGGCTCATGACTGTAATCCCGGCAATTTGAGAGTCTGAGGCGGGCAGATCACGAGGTCAGGAGTTCCAGACCAGCCTGGCCAATATGGTGAAACCCCGTCTCTACTAAAAAATACAAAAATTAGCCAGGAGTGGTGGTATGTGCCTGTAGTCCCAACTACTCAAGAGGCTGAGGCAAGAGAATCACTGGAACCCGGGAGGCGGAGTTTGCAGTGAGCCAACATCGAGCCACTGCACTCCAGCCTGGGCAACAGGGTCTTACTCCTATTGACCAGACAACCACGACTCTCTGCAGCCTTGACCTCCTGGGCTCAGGTGCTCCTGCCACCTCATCCTCCTGAGTAACTAGGGCTACAAGTGTGCACCACCACATTCAGCTAATTTTTTGTATTTTTAATAGAGATAGGGTTTATTCATGTTGTTAAGGCTGGTCTGGAACTCTTGAGCTCAAGTGATCTGCCCCCACCAGGCCTCCCAAAGTTTTGGGATTCCAGGTATGAGTCACCGCCCCCGACTCAATAAAATCATTTCAGAGTGGTGACTACTCTAAAGAAAATAAGGGCAGGGTGCAGTGGTTCACATCTGGAATCCCAGCACTTTTGGAGGCCAAGGCAGGAGGATGGCTTGAGGCCAGGAGTGCAAGACCAGCCTTAACAACATGAATAAACCCAAAAAAATTTAACTGAAAAAAACTTGGGTTGGGCACGGTGGCTCATGTCTGTAATCCCAGCACTTTGGGAGGCTGAGGCAGGTGGATCACCTGAGGTCAGGAGTTCAAGACCAGCCTGACCAACATGGATAAACCCCATCTCTACTAAAAATACAAAAAAATTAGCCGGGCATGGTGACGCATGCTTGTAATCCCAGCTACTCAGGAGGTTAAGGCAGGAGAATCTCTTGAACTTGGGAGGTGGATGTTGCAGTGGGCTGAGATCTGAGATCACACCATTGCACTCCATCCTGGACAAGAGGGAAACTTAGTCTCAAAAAAAAAAAAAAAAAAAAAAAACTTGTCCCAGCACGGTGGCTCATGCCTGTAATCCTGCTGAGTAGCTATTGCTTTTTAGCTAGGTGAGCCAAGATCACGCCATTGCACTTCAGCCTGAGTGACAGAGCAAGACTCCGTCTCAAAAAAAAAAAAAAACACTAGCTTAGCTAGGCATGGTGGCAAACATCCATAGTCCCAGCTACTGGGGAGGCTGAGACAGGAGGATCCTGGAGACCAAGAGGTCGAGGCTGTAGTGAGCTGTGATCGTGGCATCACAATTCAGCCTGGGTGATGAAATGAGATCCCATCTCAAAAAATAATTAAGTAAATAATAAACAGAAGATGGTATCGTGGAGTGAGGGGTAGGGGGACTAGGGACTGCTTCAGATGGCCGGGAAGCCCAGGAAGACGTCTCTGAGGTGACATTTAAGCAGAGATGTGAATGTAATGACCTGGCAACAGGGTACTGTTCGTAAAGGCAGGAAGAAGCCTGGTGTATTCAGGGAGCAAGATGAAGGCAAGCATGGTGTACTGAGATGGGAGAATGTAAGTTTCTGGGCAGAAGTTGGAAGGCCCTCATTGGTTAAGTGGCTACCTATAGCCAGTTTGATTTTTCTCCAATTATGAGCTGGTAACACAAATGCCACCCTATGCTCAGGAGACCAGACTCTATTCCCAGCTAAGCCTGATGCCTTGTGTCCATCTCACAAGTGCTAGAAAGGCTCAGGGTTGTCCAGGCACTGCCTGCCTAGAGCAGGTAGGCTACCCAGCTGGGCAGTGAAGGCTGTCTGTCTGACTTCCACTGCCACCTTGGCACTGTTGACTATAGTGAGTTGCGGTGGGGGTGCCAGGGACCCTGGGAAGCTGCAGAAATAGCTGGCAGGTCTGCAGACTGGTGAAGTATGGGGACTTACTCCCATGCCCTCCTTTTCCTGCAGAGATTCAAGGAGCTCAGAACAAGGCTTCCCTCCTGAAAAGTCCATGGTTCTGAGGTGGGCCTCCAGCCTCCCCTGCCCTTCTTCTGCTGCTGGGATCCCTGCCAGACGTAGAAGGCTGGGGCCCTGGTATGGCAGTGCTGAGCAGGTCTTCTGACAACCCCTTGTTCCAACCCCAGCTCTGCTCCTACTGCCTCGTTAGTAAAACACAAGTAAAATACTACCTCCCTCCTTGGGTGGTGGCCTTGAGATGTCTATGCAATAATGCCTCTCAAGTGCTTAGTACTGCCTGACATATAGTACAGTTAGAAATGGATTATAGATAGGGAAACTGAGGCACTGGTAAATGTACCAGGGGGCCTGTGTCCTCTGTTTTAGTTACTTCAAGGCAATTCTCTGCCTGCCTCTGAGCCATCGTTGATCTATCCATACAATGAGGAATTGGCCTGAAAAATGCTAAAGCCTCTTCCATCTTGGGGTTTTTCTGGCTTTTTTTTGAGACAGAGTCTAACTCTGTCGCCCAGGCTGGAGTGGAGTGGCGCGATCTCGGCTCACTGTAACCTCCCCGTCCTGGGTTCAAGTGATTCTCCTGCCTCAGCCTCCTGAGTAGCTGGGACTACAGGCATATGCCACACCTGGCCAATTTTTTATTTATTTTTATTTATTTATTTATTTATTTTTTTGAGACGGAGTTTCACTCTTGTTACCCAGGCTGGAGTGCAATGGCGCAATCTCGGCTCACCGCAACCTCCGCCTCCTGGGTTCGGGCAATTCTCCTGCCTCAACCTCCTCAGTAGCTGGGATTACAGGCACGCGCCACCATGCCCAGCTAATGTTTTTGTATTTTTAGTAGAGACGGGGTTTCACCGTGTTGACCAGGATGGTCTCGATCTCTTGACCTCGTGATCCACCCGCCTCGGCCTCCCAAAGTGCTGGGATTACAGGCTTGAGCCACCGCGCCCGGCTAATTTTTTATTTTTTAAAAATAAAAAAAAAACATGATGAGACAGTATTTCATCGTGTTAGCCAGGATGTTCTCCATCTTCTGACCTTGTGATCCACCCACCTTGGCCTCACAAAGTGCTGGGATTACAGGCTTAAGAACCGCACCTGGCCTGGTTCTAAATCCCAAGACAGGGCCACCCACTCTTCTAACACCTTTCATCCAGCCAGTCCTTGTTCCTTGGCTCTTCCCCAAGGAAAATGCCTGTTTGCCACTCCAAAATGAACTGCAGCCTTTTGTGCTTGTGAACACAAGAATAAAACAGCTCCTGATTGGCGGGGTGCAGTGGTTCACATCTGGATTATCTGGAAGGCAAGGGCGGGAGGATCACTTGAGCCCAGGAGTTCAAGGAGCCTGTACAACACAGACAGACCTCATATCTACAAAAAATTAAAATTAGTTGAGCAGCCAGGCACAGTGGCTCACACCTGTAATCAGGAGTTAGAGACCAGCCTGGGCAACATGGTGAAACCTCATCTCTACCAAAAAATACAAAAAATAGCTGGGCATGATGGCATGTGCCTATAGTCCCAGCTCCTGGGGAGGCTGAGGTGGGAGAATTGCTTGTACCTGGGAGGCAGAGGTTGCAGTGAGCTGAGATCATGCCCCTACACTTAAGCCTGAGCCAAAGAGTAAGACCCTGTCTCAAAAATAAATAAAAAAATAGAAATTAAAAAAAATGAGTTGGGTGTGGTGGTATATACCTGTAGCCTCAGCTGCCGGGGAGGCTGAGATGAGGACTGCTTGGGCCCAGGAAGTTGTGGGTGCAGTGAGCCATGACTGTGCCACGAACTCCAACCTACATGATGGGGCAAAACCTTGTCTCAAAAAAAAAAAAAAAAAAAAAAAAAAACAACCAAAAAACCCCACCCCCTGTTCCTTGGGTGAAGTCCTTCTTCTGAATGCCCCCTCAGAAAACCCCCGGTCCTAGGGGGTGGATGCCTTATGATTCCACTTTTCCTGATTATGAAACGGGGACCCAGAGTGGGGAAGTGACTTGCCCTAAGTCCTCTGCTAGAAAACAGGGAGGAGCTGGCAATTTGAATTCACGTCCACCCAACTTTGGCCAGAGGAGAGGGGACAAGCAGCTAAAGCCCAGGCTGGAGAGGAACTTCTGCCCTCAGTGCTTGGAAGGCCCCAAGAGTGCCAAAGTCACGGGCATCCCTCGGGGAAGGGAGGACAAGCAGACACTTGACCTAATGAGAGCCTTTATTCACAAACACTTGCCTCCCACTCTGCTTCCCTCTTCTCAGACTTTTGGAAGTGGGTGTAGCCCTCACTCCTGTGAGGACACCCAGCAAACCTGGCTAGCTGGGAGGAGTCTGGAACAGGACCGTAGATCTGCAGCATCCCAGCATGAGCCCAGACGACTTATGGCTGTTCACGCATGGTTCTCTTTGGGCAGCTGTTGGTTCCCCTAGGAGTCCCACTGTACTGCTTGCTCCCTGGGGGTTGGTCCTCAAGGCCACTCAGCAGTGGCTATGACAAATTATGATAAATGTAGTCCAAGGGTCAGTGTCCAAAGGGGAGGAACAAAGCCCTCTGCCCCCAAGGGAAGCAGTGGGTGGAGGAGGCAGGCCAGGCCCCACTGGCTCAGGAGCTCAGGCCAAGCCCTGGACCTGTATGGGTGGTGCAGTAATGCCCAGCTCCTCCCGCAAAGCCCTCAGGGGCTGCTCCCATCGCCGCTCATAGTACAGGTTCAGGAGACATGGGGCTCTGCGCCCATTCTGAATGGCCCATGGAATCAACTCTGAGATCAACACTTGCAGGCTCCTATGGGACAGCAGAAGAAAAAGAAAACATAAGGTCCCTGGGGGCCAGGCACTCGATTGTTCAGCACTTGATGTGCATTTTCTCAGTTCATCCTCATGAAGACCTTGGAAGGATGTAGTTACTATTCCTGCTTTTCAGATGAGGCAACAGAGCTCAGTGAGGTGGAATCCCAAGCCTAAAGCCATGCATCTTGAACATGTCGAAGCTCAGATTTAAATCACAGCCCCCTCACTCCAGAATCTAACACCAACCTCCCTTCTCACTGACCCTTATTCTGACCCTGTACTTAGGCCTGGCCCAAGAGACCCCAGAGTCCTGTGAAACGTACAGGCTTTATTTGCTCCCTTGAAGACCCCTGCCCCAAGCCAGTTTCACATCTCTGCTCCATTCCTTCTACCCTTACTTTCCGGAGAACTGGAAAGGGCTGTGCAGGGGCCTGTGTGCTCTTCCTACTTCTAGGAGTCCTGGTCCCTCTGAGTTCTGCCAACTCCAACCCCCCAACCCTGACCCAGCCGCCACTTGAAAACTTACTGAGCACTGAGTTGGATTGGTCCAAAGAGTGCACCCAGGATGCACATGGGCAGGCCAGTCTGGACAGCTTCAAACCATTTCACCACGATCTCCCCTGGGGGTGAGGGATGGGTTGGGAGGTGAACAGGCTATCTGAAGGAAAGGCCAGTGGTGCTCACAGCAGGGCAAAGAGAGGCAACTGTTCCTCTCTGATCTCCACCAGGGTCAGCTGTGCCCAGTCCTGGCCTGTGCTGGAACCTGGGGCACTCAGCTTAGGGTACGGGAGAGGGCCCAAGAGTGAACAGAAGGGAATAAGAGATGGAGAAGAAGCCGGGGGTCAGGGCGCAGAGGATCCTATGGCCCCATAAGCCAGGCTAAACACTCCAGGATGGTTCCTGTAGGTCTTAGGGAGCTGCTGAGGTTTCAGAGCAGGAAAGCAGCTAAAGCCCAGAAACAGACCAGGAGCCTTGAGGATGGGCTGCTGCTACATCAGTGCAGGAGCCCTGAGAGGCAGTGGGAGGGAGAAGGGGGATGTGTGGTGAAGGTGCTACCAAGATGTTCAGGTAAAGCAGAAAATGAGGCACAAGCCAGGTGATGCAGGGGGTGGTGGAGATAGGCAAGCCCTACCCTGGCCCTGAAGCCACCCCAGGGAGACAGGCCGTTGGGGTTGGTGGTACTCACCCAGGATGTTGGTGGGCATCCCCAGCAGGGTGTGGAGCATGTCGTGCACCTCCCGGTACCGCTGAATCACATACGCAAGCTCCTCATCATCCACGAAGCGGGTGGGTGCTCGGGTGTCTGGGGAGACCCTCTGACAATCACGAGCCTCCCTTAGAACCCTTCCTGATGGTTTATAGGACCCGATTTGCCAGACTCTCTCTGGCACTGTCACAACTCTCACCAAACTCATACCCTACTAGAAAACCCTGGGGACTGGTCAGGCGCCGTGGCTCATGCCTGTAATCCCAGCACTTTGGGAGGCTGAGGCAGGTGGATCACCTGATGTCAGGAGTTTGAGATCAGTCTGACCAATATGGTGAAACCCCGTCTCTACTAAAAATACAAACGTTAGCTGGGCGTGGTGGCAGGCACCTGTAATCCCAGCTACTTGGGAGGGTGAGACAGGAGAATTGCTTGAACGAGGGAGGCGGAAGTTGCAGTGAGCCGAGATTGCGCCACTGCACTGCAGCCTTGATGACAGAGTGAGACTCCATTTCAAAATAAATAAATAAAAGATTAGTTTCTGTCCATATCTGCCAACTATGGAGGCCTTGGGCACAGAATATGCTGGGACTGGCAATCTCCACTCCTTGGCTTGCCCCAACTCACATGTAATGTCTGTGGCCTATTAGAATCTATGGTACAGGGCCGGGCGCGGTGGCTCAAGCCTGTAATCCCAGCACTTTGGGAGGCCGAGGCGGGTGAATCACGAGGTCAACAGATCGAGACCATCCTGGTCAACATGGTGAAACCCCGTCTCTACTAAAAATACAAAACATTAGCTGGGCATGGTGGTGCGTGCCTGTAATCCCACCTACTCAGGAGGCTGAGGCAGGAGAACTGCCTGAACCCAGGAGGCGGAGGTTGCGGTGAGCCGAGATCGCGCCATTGCACTCCAGCCTGGGTAACAAGAGTGAAACTCCGTCTCAGAAAAAAAAAAAAAAAAAAAAAAAAAAGAATCTATGGTACAGAAGCTCTTAGTAAGGAGTGGGGGGGAATGAGCAGTTACTGAATAGGTATCAGAGTTTCAGTTTTGGAAGATGAAAAAGTTCAGTTCTGCATAACAATGTAAACATACTTAACACTACTAAACTGTACACTTTTAAAAGATTAAGATGGTAGGGCCAGGCATGGTGGCTCACACTTGTAATCCCAGGCCTTTGGTAGGCCAAGGGGGACAGATCATGAGGTCAGAAAATGGAGACCAGCCTGTCCAATATGGTAAAACCCCGTTTCTACTAAAAAATACAAAAATTAGCCAGGCGTGGTGGCGCACACCTGTACTCCCAGCTACTAGGGAGACTGAGGCAGGAGAATCACTTGAACCCAGGAGACGAAGGTTGCAGTGAGCCAAGATCATGCCACTGCACTCCAGCCTGGTGACAGAGTGAGACTGTCTCAAAGAAAAAAAAAAAAAAAAAAGAAAAAGATTAAGATGGTAAATTTTATTTTGTGCTTTTAAAATTTACTATAGTTAAAAATTAAAATTTACAGGCTCACGCCTGTAATCCCACCACTTTGGGAGGCCAAGGCAGGAGGATCACTTGAGGCCAGGAGTTCAAGACCAGCTTCGGCAAAGGAGCAAGACCCTGTCTCTATAAAAAATACAAAAATTAGGCTGGGCACAGTGGCTCATGCCTATAATCCCAACACTTTGGGAGGCTGAGGCAGGCAGATCACCTGAGGTCAGGAGTTCAAGACCAGCCTGGTTAACAGGGAGAAACTCCTTCTTATTTATTTATTTATTTGTTTGTTTGTTTATAAGATAGAGTCTTACTCTGTAGCCAGGTGCCAGGCTGGAGTGCAGTGGCGCAAATTTGGCTCACTGCAACCTCCACCTCCCAGGTTCAAGCAATTCTCCTGCCTCAGCCTCCCAAGTAGCTGGGACTACAGGCGCGTGCCACCATGCCCAGCTAATTTTTGTATTTTTAGTAGAGACGGGGTTTCACCATTTTGGCCAGGATGGTCTTGATCTCTTGACCTTGTGATCCGCCTACCTCGGCCTCCCAAAGTGCTGGGATTACAGGCATGAATGAGCCACTGTGCCTGGCCGAGAAACTCCATCTTTACTAAAAAATACAAAAATTAACCAGGCGTGGTGATGCACACCTGTAATCCCAGCTACTTGGGAAGCTGAAACAGGAGAATCACTTGAACCCAGGAGGTGGAGGTTATAGTGAGCCGATATCTCACTACTGCACTCCAGCCTGGGTGACAGAATGAGAGACTCTGTCTCCAAAAAAAAAAAAGAAAAAGAAAAATACAGGGCCGGGCGCGGTGGCTCAAGCCTGTAATCCCAGCACTTTGGGAGGCTGAGGCGGGTGGATCACGAGGTCAAGAGATCGAGACCATCCTGGTCAACATGGTGAAACCCCGTCTCTATTAAAAATACAGAAAATTAGCTGGGCATGGTGGTGCGTGCCTGTAATCCCAGCTACTCGGGAGGCTGAGGCAGGAGAATTGCCTGAACCCAGGAGGCGGAGGTTGCGGTGAGCCGAGATCATGCCATTGCACTCCAGCCTGGGTAACATGAAACTCCATCTCAGAAAAAAAAAAAAAAGAAAAAGAAAAAAAAAACACAAAAATTAGCCAGGTGTGGTGGTATATGCCTGCAGTCTCAGCTACTCAGGAGGCTGAGACAGGAGGATTGCTTGAGCCCCAGAGTTTAAGGTTACAGGGAGCTATGACTATACTGCTGCACTCAGTAAGACATTGTCTCTAAAAACAAAAATAGAAAATGAAGCCCCAGGCCGGGCACGGTGGCTCAAGCCTGTAATCCCAGCACTTTGGGAGGCCGAGGCGGGTGGATCACGAGGTCAAGAGATCGAGACCATCCTGGTCAACATAGTGAAACCCCGTCTCTACCAAAAATACAAAAAATTAGCTGGGCATGGTGGTGCGTGCCTGTAGTCCCAGCTACTCAGGAGGTTGAGGCAGGAGAATTGCCTGAACCCAGGAGGCGGAGGTTGCGGTGAGCCGAGATCGCGCCATTGCACTCCAGCCTGGGTAACATGAGTGAAACTCTGTCTCAAAAAAAAAAAAAAAAAAAAAAAAAAAAAAGAAAATGAAGCCCCAAAGACCCTGGTCCTAGCACAAGCTGCTCCCAGCTTGGGGTGCTGCTCTCTCCCACTATCCCCATCTTCACTGTGATAATTCCTATTTATCCTTCATGACCTGGTTAAGTGTCCCCCGTCCCCTGCCCCACCCAGAAGCCATCCCTATAGACCACTCGGGTTCATGTTATGGTCTCTTGAAGAATCATGCACCTCTTTGTGGCACTTAATTGTACGTTGATGTTTAATGCATGTGATAATTAATGTCTCCTAGACCTGCACTGTCCAGTATGGCAGCCGCTTGCCACATATGGCCATTGAGAAAGGTGGCAAGATCCAATTAAGATGTGCTTAGGGCCAGGCACGGTGGCTCAAGCCTCTAATCCCAGCACTTTGGGAGGCCGAGGCGGGTGGATCACGAGGTCAAGAGATCGAGACCATCCTGGTCAACATGGTGAAATGAAACCCCGTCTCTACTAAAAATACAAAACATTAGCTGGGCATGGTGGTGTGTGCCTGTAATCGCAGCTACTCAGGAGGCTGAGGCAGGAGAACTGCCTGAACCCAGAAGGCGGAGGTTGCGGTGAGCCGAGATCGCGCCATTGCACTCCAGCCTGGGTAACATGAGTGAAACTCCGTCTCAAAAAAAAAAAAAAAAAAAAAAAAAAAAAAAAAAAAAAAACCCACAAAAACAAAGATGTGCTAAACACATAAAATACACGAGACTTCAAATACTTAGTATGAAAAAAAGAATGTAAAAATCTCAATAATTTGAAAATATTGATTACTTGTTGAAATAATAGTTTGGATATATTGGGCTAAACAAGATGCATATTTAAAATTAATTCTGGCCAGGTGCAGTGGCTCACACCTATAATCTCAGCACTTTGGGAGGCTGAGGCAGGCAGATCAACTGAGGAGTTCAAGACCAGCCTGGCCAACATGATGAAACCCCATCTCTACTAAAAATACAAAAATGAGCCTGGCATTGTGGTGGGAGCCTGTAATCCCAGTTACTTGGAAGGCTGAGATCAGAGAATTGCTTGAACCTGGGAGGCAGAGGCTGCAATGAGCTGAGATGGCACCTTTGCAGTCCAGCCTGAGAGACAGAGCAAGACTCCGTCTCAAAAGAAAAGAAAAAAAATTAATTCTACCTTTTTTTGGGGGGTGGATGGAGTTTCACTCTCTCGTTGCCCAGGTTGGAGTGCAATGGCACAAACACGGCTCACTGCAATCTCCACCTCGCGGGTTCAAGCAATTCTCGTCTCAGCCTCCGAAGTAGCTGGGATTACAGGCTCCCACCACCATGCCAGGCTAATTTATGTATTTTTAGTAGAGATGGGGTTTCATCATGTTGGCCAGGCTGGTCTCGAACTCCCGACCTCAGGTGATCCACCAGCCTCAGCCTCCCAAAGTGCTGGGATTACAGGTGTGAGACACTGCACCCAGCTCCACCTGTTTCTTTTTGCTATTAAAGTGGCTGGCAGAAAATTTTAAATTACCTACATTCTCACGTTATATTTTTATGGATGGTATTGAAACAGTCTGTCTGCTACACAAGGGCAAGGCTGGCTCTGTTTTGCTTATTCTTTTACCTCCAGTAGCCTGATCCCAGGCCTGGATGAATGAACATCTCTTGAACATATGACTAAAAGGCCAGCCCCGGGACTTTTCTGACCTCAGGTAGGAATGCCAAGTCTCCTCCTCTTACTTCTGAGTACTCAGCAGCACTCACACAGAGTGGACACAGCCTGGTCTTCCTTTTCCCAAAGAATGCCCTCAGAGTGTCCATAAGCTGAGATCTGATGTCTTTCTGGCTTTGGGGTTGTTGGCTTAATGCCATGCCCAATCTGTGTCTGTGGCCTTACAAGGTCCTAGGACCTAATTTCCTCTGCAGTTCTACTTGTTGTGTGAAGCTGAAGATGACATAGAGTATCCACCATGTGCCGGCAGCGGCAGGGTAGGTGTCCTTTATGCATCCTTGCAATCTCAGAGGTAAATACTGTTATTACCGCAGATATAGATAAGGAAAACAAGGGCTGGGCATGGTGACTCAGGCCTGTAATCCCAGCACTTTGGGAGGCCAAGGCCAGCGGATAACTTAAGGTCAGGAGTTTGAGACCAGCCTGGCCAATATGGTGATACCCTGCCTATGCTAAAAATATAAAAATTAGCCAGGGGTGGTGGTGTGCCCCTGTAGTCCCAGCTACTCGGAGGGCTGAGGCAGGAAGATCGACAGGAGGGGGAGGTTGCAGTGAGCTCAAATTATGCCCTCCAGCTGGGGTGACAGAGGAGACAAAAAAAAGATAAGGAAAACAAGGTTCAGAGGGATAAAGTAATTTGCCCAAGATCACACAGCTAGTAAAGTGGCTCAGTCAGGATTTGAAACAAATTCTGTTACATTCTAAAGCTAGTGGCCTTAACATCCATTACCAAGGCTAATAAGTGCCCTGGAAGATATATGTGAGGTCCTCTTACTTCTGATGAGGAATCTGAGACTTAGCAAGGTTGAAGGATTTGTCCAAGGTTGTAAAGCTGGGAAGAGAGGCAGGATTCTAACTCAGCCTCCTCCTAATTCTCAAGCCCCTGTCTGTAATCTTGATGTTGCAAGATGACCACACCTCCACTAAAGTAAGCCTCAGGGAGGGGAGGGTGGCCTCACCTTGAGCCTTTATCTAAATCTAGGTGGGGACAAAGGTACTCCTTCCCATTCCATGAGCTGCTGATTTCCTTGCTCTCCTTGTGTCACAATCGCCAGAGTGCTTACCACAAGTGGGGCTGTGGCTGAGCATGGTGCCCTGGCAGTCCCATCCCTGCTACGCCTTCCCCTCCACAGCAGCAGGGCTAAACACCGGGGGAAATTCAGAAGACTGTCTCTCCCTGTGTGGCGCACTTGAGGCAGGTCACTCTGGTGAGTTAGTTTCCCACTGATGAAATTTGCATCCTGGTGAAATCTGAGAGATGGTATAAAATAGGGCAAGTGATCGCCTGTCAAGGTGGCTGTGCAGGAGACTGAGGAACAGAACGTCGTCTCAGGGACAATAACCATCTAGAGCAGTGGTTCTCCACTGCCCACCAGCGGACATCTGTAATCTCTGGAGACATCTGTTGTTGTCACAACTTGGCAGGGGTGCTCCTGGCACCCAGTGAGTAGCAGCCAGGGAGGCCAGGAAACATCCTACCATGCTCAGGACCACCCCCACAACAAAGAGTGACCCAGCCCAAACACTGACACTGCCAAGGTTGAGAAACTGTTCTGGGGAAACTTTGGAGACCCCTCACCTCCTCCAGCCCGGCTGGCTCTGGACAGCCATTTGACAGGGGACCTTGATGGGATGTATGTGTGTTGGAGGAGGGAGGGAAGATGGCACAGGGACAGGGAAGATGGGCCAACTGGATCCTAAGGTCCTTTACAGATCAACGTTACTGTCCTGCTCCAGACTTTCCACAAGCTTCCTACTGGTCCTATTACAAAATATAGACTCCTCCTACTGGTGGCCCACAGGCCCCAGCCCTGACTGACTTCCCAGCCCACTCACTGTCTCTCCCCACTTCACTCCTCTGTGGCCACACTGGTCGACCTTCCTTTTCCTAAATACGTGGGGTCTCTGCCCTTGCTGGTCCCTCTACTCAGAATGTTCTTCCCCAGCTCTCCACAGGTTTGGCTCCTCCTCACCTTCCAAGTCTCCTCAGAGGAGCCGGCCCTGACCATCCCATCAGAAACACTGTCTTCCATCACACTAACTTCTCTGCATAGCTGCTAGAATGTAAGTTCCACAAAGGCAGGCTTTTTGCTGGTTTTGTCCACTGTATCCCAACTGCTGACAATAGCGCTGGTGTACTTTTTTTTTTTGAGACAGGGTCTTGCTCTGCTGCCCAGGCTGGAGTGTAGTGGCGTGATCACAGCTCACGGCCCTCACCCTCCTGGGCTCAACTCATCCTCCCCACTCCCTCTCAGGTGGCTGGGACTATGGGTACACATCACCATGCCTGGTTAATTTTTGTGTTTTTTGCAGAAACAGGGTTTCACCATGTTGCCCAGGCTGGCCTCGAATTCGTGGGCTCAAGTGATCTCCCTCCTCAGCCTCCCAAAGTATTAGGATTACACACGTGAGCCACCATGCCTGGCCTAGTGCCAGAATATTCTAATTACTTAAAATATTTTATCTGTATTTTATTTTATTTATTTATTTAGAGACGGAGTCTCACACTGTTGCCCAGGCTGGAATGCAGTAGTGCGATCTCAGCTCACTGCAACTTCTGACTCTTGGGTTCGAGTGATTCTTCTGCCTCACCTCCCAAGTAGCTGGGACTATAGGCACATGCCACCATGTCTGGCTAATTTTTATATTTTTAGTAGAGACGAGGTTTCACCATATGGGCCAGGCTGGTCTGGAACTCCTAACCTTGTGATCCACCTGCCTCGGCCTCCCAAAGTGCTGGGATTATAGGTGTTGAGCAATCGTGCCTGGCCTTACCTGTATTTTTATATGAATTTTTTTGTTTTGTTTGAGACAGAGTCTCACTCTGTCCCCCAGGCTGGAGTGCAGTAGTGTGATCTCGGCTCACTGCAGTCTCTGCCTCCCAGGTTCAAGCAATTCTCCTCAGCCTCCCAAGTAGCTGCGATTACAGGCGCACACCACCATACCTGGCTAACTTTCGTATTTTTAGTAGAGACAGGGTTCCACCATGTTGGCCAGGCTGATCTCAAACTCCTGACCTCAGGTGATCTGCCCACCTGGGCCTCCCAAAATGCTGAGATTATAGGTGTGAACCATTGTGCCCACCCTGAAAAATCTTTTAAACTATTTTATTGTCTACCTCTCCAACTAGAATAGACATTAGGGTGGGAAACTTGGCTATCCAGTTCACCATTATATTCCCAGTACACACAAAAAATGGATGGGCAGGGCACGGTGACTCAAGCCTGTAATCCCAGTACTTTGGAAGGCTGAGGCAGGCAGATCACTTGAGGTCAGGGGTTCAAGACCGGCCTGGCCAATATGGTAAAACCCCATCTCTACTAAAAATACAAAAATTAGCCAGGCGTTATGTTGTGCACCTGTAATCCCAGGTACATGAGAGGATGAGGCAGGAGGATTGCCTGAACCTGGGAAGCTGAGCTGCAGTGAGCCATGACCTCCCCACTGTACTCCAGCCTGGGTGACAGAGCGAGGCTCTGTCTCAAAACAAAAAACAAAAAGGATGGCACAAGGCAGAGGCTCAGTAAGTGAATGAGTTCACCAATAGTCGGGACATCCCCTTCCCCCCTCTCCTTGTCCTCCTTTGCCTGGGGCTAGAGAGTGTCAAACCTGCCATATCACAGAGAAAGCAATGTCCGTGGGACAAGGGAGCATGGTACAGCAGTTAAGAGCATGACTTGGGGTTGATTACTGCCTCCATTAATACCAGCTATGTGAAATTAGCAAGTTGCTTCACTGCTCTGAGCCTCTGTTTCCTTATGTACTAAAAGAGGATAATAATAGAACATACTTTCTTTTTCTTAGAAGAGACAGAAGTGGAAAAAGGAGAAAAATGAAATAAAAATATATGTATTAAAAAAAAATAATAGAACATACTTGACAGGGTTGTGGGGGGATTCAGCAAGAACACAGATGCGGCTGGCATCAAGCATGCAGTGGGAGGTTAATGGACACTGGCCAGTATTATCATTTGAAGGCATGTTCCTACCCATTTGCCTGTCCCATAGAAAATGACAAAGCCTTGGCATAACCCTGAAAAGCACTCTCGACCATGGTGGCAGCTCAGGGCTCCTCTTTCCTCAGGGTGTCAGGCCTATGCTATTCCCCTGTCCTGTCTAGTGACTGCCAGGTACACAGAAGCTGAAAACTCACGTTCACATCCAGGAAACGGAGATACTCGCGGCCCAGGGAACCTTCCGGCAGGCTCTGGAGCTTGCCCAGGTCGAGGGTGGATGTCGAAATCCGGGGACGCTCCCTGAAAGGCAAGACTTGCGTATTGGGAGAGGGTTGGCAAAGGTAGGTGAAAGATCCAATTGCAGTGAGCTGGGAGGCAGGTGAACCCACAGAGGAGCAATGTGGCCACCACAAATCTTAATGGAGCACTTACAGCTGGCCAGGTCAGTGTCAGGGACTTGGCATACTACCCCAAACCAAGGACAAGGGCAGGGGCACAATCTAGGCAGGAAGACAGTCCTCGAATGTGACCAGAGTACTTGCAAAAGGCACTGCAAGGGAGGGGTAAAGCCAGCACATTATGGGAACTTAGTGAAGGCACAGAGCCCTGTGGCTGAAATTGGGCCAATGCCATCATACTGCCCAACTCACAGGTCATCATAGTGTATACACGTGTATGTGAATGACACCCCTGGAATTGGGCAGTGCCCAGCCTGTGCAACTATATGTGGCCAGGGTATCAAGAGCGCCCTAGAGGAACAGAACAAACACAATGTGATTCTAGAAAGGTCAGAATACCTAGAGACTGCCCCCAGACCCCCAGGCAGAGCTGGGACCTACTGCAGGATCTGGGCACCCTCTGGATCCCTCCTCATCTGGTCCCTGAGGACCTTCAGGGTTCGGTGTCCCGTGGTCTCCCCTAGAACTGCAACCATGTCTGAAAGGACAGAAATGGGCACAAATGGGGGATGTCATCTTAGGTTAAGTTACCTGACCTGGTCTGAGCCTTTGTTTCCTACAGGATAAATTAGAGATAATATCTAGCTCTTTGTTGTAAGGATTTATATAAAACACTTAGCAAATTACCCAGCACATAACAAGGGCTCAGTATACACATCTATAGTTCTTATTCTTTATCTACTGGGGTGGGACAGCTCCGCTTGTCACAATGTTCTAAACATTTTATAAGTCACTTTTCACAATACAATATCACGTCTCCATTGATTGGTAGAGGCTTAGGCATCTAAGAGAGTGCTGGGCTATAGCCCAGGTGTGTTCACTATCTAGGCAAGCTGCTTCACATTTCTGTTTTGTTTTGTTTTTTGAGACAGGGTCTTGCTCTGTTGCCCAGGCTGGAGTGAAGTGGTGTGATCACAGCTCACTGCTGGGACTACAGGTGTGCAGCTAGTTTTTTAAATTTTCTGTAGAGATGAGGTCTTGCTATGTTGCCCAGGCTGGTCTTGAACTTTGGCCTCAAGTGATCCTCCCACCTTGGATTCTCAAATTATTGGGATTACAGTTGTGAGCCACCATGCCTAGCCTGCTTCACATTTTTCAGCCTTGGTGTCCTAATTTGTGAAGTGCAGACAACAACTTTCTTAGATGGTTCTTGTGAGAAACCATGAAAATCATGCATACATAACACTTGGTGGACAAGCTGTAGTGGCTGACGCCTGTAATTCTAACGGGCTGGGGGGCGGGGAGGAGGACCCGAGTCAGGAGGATCGCTAGAGGCCAAGAGTTCCAGACCAGCCTGGGCAACATGGCAAGACCCCATCTCTACAAAAAAATTAAAAAATTTGCTGGCCTTCGCTGGGCGTGGTGGCTCATGCCTGTAATCCCAACACTTTGGGAGGCCAGGTGGGTGGATCACCTGAGGTCAGGAGTTTGAGACCAGCCTGGACAACATGGCGAAATCCGGTCTCTACTAAAAATACAACAATTAGTCCAGGTGGCACAGGCCTGTAATCCCAGTTACTCCGGAAGCTGAGGCACAAAAATCGCTTGAACCTGGGAGGTGGTGGTTGCAGACAGCCGAGATCGCGCCACTGCACTCCAGCGTAGGCCATAGAGACATTCTGTTTCAAAACACAACAAAAAAAACCCCAAAAAACCACTGGGGACATGGATAAATAGTGTTTTTTGTTTAAGACGGTCTCACTCTGTTGCCAAGGCTGGAGTGCAATGGTGCAATCACAGCTCACTGAAGTCTCGAACTCCCCCGCTCAAATGATCCTCCCACCTCAGCCTCCCAAGTAACTGGGAATACAGCCGCATGCAACCAGGCCCAATTAATTTTTGTATTTTTTTTGTAGATATGGGGATTCGCCATGTTGCCCAGGCTGGTCTCAAACTCCTTAGCTCAAGCCATCTGCCCGCTTTGGCCCCTCCAAAGTATTGGGATTATATGCGTGAGCCACTGTGCCTAGCCTATTGTTTTTATTTTTTATTTATTTATTTTTAAATTATTATTATTTTTTTTTTGAGACGGAGTTTCGCTCTTGTTACCCAGGCTGGAGTGCAATGGCGCGATCTCGGCTCACCGCAACCTCCGCCTCCTGGGTTCAGGCAGTTCTCCTGCCTCAGCCTCCTGAGTAGCTGGGATTACAGGCACGCGCCACCATGCCCAGCTAATTTTTTGTAGTTTTAGTAGAGACAGGGTTTCACCGTGTTGACCAGGATGGTCTCGATCTCTTGACCTCGTGATCCACCCTCCTCGGCCTCCCAAAGTGCTGGGATTACAGGCTTGAGCCACCGCGCCCGGCCAGCCTATTGTTTTTATTAGTAGGAATAACGGTATTTCCCAGAACTCAAAAACCCTGGGAGAGATGAGAAAAACACTGTAGAACCCTAGGATGTTCTAGTTACACAACCAGCAAACATTTATTGAGCATTTACTATGTGCCAGGCACTATCCAGAGGGCTGCAGATACAGTGGAACGAGGCAGACATGGTCCCTGACCTCATTAAGTTGACTTTCCAGTAGGATGTTATAAGCTGATCAGTACTTATGAATCATGTATTTAGTCTAGCTGTTTTTAACATGGCTGCATGACAGATTCTCCCAAGTATTTAAAAAATACAGACTTTCGGATTCCACGTTCCTTTCTCCTCCACGGCAGATTCAGCAGTGAGTTTAGGTGGGATCCAGGAATCTGCATTTTCATAAACATTCCGAGTGGTTCGGAGCTGCAACCAGGTTTCCTCGACCTAGACTATGCTCCAATTACCACAGGAAACGGCTCCCAGCCGCTCCCATGGGGACAAGGCGTCGGAGGCCTTACCGTGGCGATAGGGGTTATACAGCGCCATAGCAGCGGAACCGGCGGCCAGCAGCACTTTCTGCAGCGGGGAGGTGGGGATGTGATGTGGATACAGCAGGCCGACGCCGTCGCTCCTGGCTCGGAACAGCATTTCTGCGGGGCAAGAAAAAGGCCGAGGTCAGAGGAGCTGGGCGCTTCCAGGCTCCTTCCACCTGCGCCTGGAACCCGGCGCCACTTGCCTGCCGCAGGCCTAGGGCGGCTGGGGAGCCAACGGAACGGGCGCAGGACAGCGCACAGCACAATCGCCATGGCAGCGGGCGTCCGCGGAGGACGGGCGGACACAGAGAACGCCAGGAGCCTCTCAGACGACGGAGCGTCGGAGGGGTCAAAAACCACTGAAAAACCGGTTCTGATGGCGTTGCCTACGGCCCTTTGAGAAGAAACACCGCTGCACGGGCAGAAGGCACGTAGGCCAAGTAGGCGAAGGAAGCCCACGCGAACTGTCTACCTCCTACAACCACAGATCCAAGACTCTCGCCATTTCACTTCGCCACAGAAAGCGTCTCCAAAGGAAACGCAACCACACTCACTCCGGCTCAGCGCCGGACCTTATTTCCTTCTCCATATCCGGTTTTCCCCGAAGACTATTAAGATGCGAACTTCTTCCGGCTGTGGAACAGGGCAGCGCCTATGGTAACGACGCTATTTGGGGGCGGGGCCTTGCGGCACTTCCGTCTAGGTCCAGAGGGTGTTGCGGTCTTCGAGTATGCGGTCCGCAAGCTTGTCGCGGCTGCAGGGGCTTTTCGCGGTCTATAAGCCCCCGGGGCTAAAGTGGAAGCACCTGCGGGATACTGTGGAACTGCAACTTCTGAAGGGTGAGTGCCTCGAACGAGACCCAGGTTCCCGCTTCCATTCTCTTGGCAGTCCATCTCCGCCTCTGGCACTTCCCCCAAAACAAAATTACGTGATCTGTTCGCCTGGACCAAGCGCTTTCCTAAACGCCTGTTCTCTGTGCTTCCTTACTCCTCACTTTCCTCTGTTTTCCGAGGGGGAAACTGACTCAGTATTGTTCGTTGTAACACGGTTACCACGTTGTAGAGTCAATTTGAATCCGCCTGTTTCTTAACTACTGCTGTTCTGCCCTCTGCATCATGGGCTTCTCTGTCTTCTACATCATACTTCCCTGTTGTCCTCTCCCTCAGGTGTTTGGATAGAACAAGATATTCCTGGCCGGGCGTCGTGGTGCACGACTGTAATCCCAGCTACTCTGGAGGCTGAGGCAGGAGGATCGCTTGAGCCCAAGAATTTGACATTACAATGAGCTATGATGGTGCCACTGCACTCCAGCCTGGGCGATAGAGCGAGACCCCGTCTCTTAAAAAAATATTTTATGTGTATATATATTTGTATGTCTGTGTATCTATATTATCAATGTGTGTTTGTGTTCAGGTCTCAATGCCAGGAAGCCTCCTGCCCCTGAACAGCGTGTTCGCTTCTTGCTGGGCGCCGTGGAAGGCAGTGAAGAGAAGGAGCTGACCCTCACAGCTACCAGTGTACCCTCTCTCACCAACCATCCACTGGGTAAGGCAGATTTAAGATCCTGGGTGTCACTTCCCAGTAAATCCCTGAGCAGAGTCAGTGTCGAAGTGCTCAGACTCCTGTGCCAGGCCCATGAATGTCTACCGAAGAGTGAGGTATTGGACCAGGAATTGTCAGACTTTCTTGGAAAGGGCCAGATACTGAATGTTTTAAACTTTGCAGGCCATATGGTTTCTGTTGCAACTGCTCAACTCTGCCATTGTAGAGTATTTGTAGTACAAAACAGCTGTAGACAGTATCTAAAGGAATAAGCTGGCCGGGCGCGGTGGCTCAAGCCTGTAATCCCAGCACTTTGGGAGGCCGAGGTGGGTGGATCACCAGGTCAAGAGATCAAGACCATCCTGGTCAACATGGTGAAACCCCGTCTCTACTAAAACTACAAAAAATTAGTTGGGCATGGTGGCGCGTGCCTGTAGTCCCAGCTACTCAGGAGGCTGAGGCAGGAGAATTGCCTGAACTCAGGAGGCGGAGGTTGCGGTGAGCCGAGATCGCGCCATTGCACTCCAGCCTGGGTAACAAGAGCGAAACCTCATCTCAAAAAAAAAAAAAAAAAAAAGAGGAATAAGCTTAGCTGTATTCCAATAAAACTTTAATTATGAACATTAGTTTCAGGTAATTTTCATGTGTCGCTGAGTACAGTTGCCCCTGAATCCATGAGTTCCACATCCCATGATCCAGCTTCAGATGAACAATATTTGTAGGGGTGGTGGGGGAAGTCCACAAAGTTCCAAAAAGCAAAACTTAAATTTGCTGTGTACCTAGTACTGTGTTAAATCAACTCAAAATGATGTATAGGCATTATATTAGGTATTACAAGTAACCTGGAGATGAGTTAATGTATATGGGAGGGCCAGGCCAGGTGGCTCATGCCTGTAATCTCAGTGCTTTAGGAAGCCAAGGCAGTGGATTACTTGAGCCTAGGAGTTTTAAGATTAACCTGGGCAACATGGCAAAATGCTGCCTCTATAAAAGAATACAAAAATTAGCCAGGTGGGGTGGCATGTGCCTATAGTTCCAGCCACTCGGGAGGTTGAGGTGGGAGGATCAACTGAGCCCAGGAAGTTGAGGTTGCAGTGAGCTGAGATTGCGCCCCTGCACCCCAGCCTGGGTGACAGAGCAAGACTCTGTCTCCAGAAAAAATAGTGGTCAGATACGGTGGCTCACGCCTGTAATCTCAGCACTTTGGAAGACTGAGGTGAGTGGATCACTTGAGGTCAGGGGTTCGAGACCAGCCTGGCCAACATGGTGAAACCTTGTCTCTACTAAAAATACAAAAAATTGTCTGGGCATGGTGGTGGGCGCCTGTAATCCCAGCTACTTGGGAGGCTGAGGCAGGAGAATCGCTTGAACCCAGGAGATGGAGGTGGCAGTGAGCCGAGATCGTGGCATTGCACTCCAGCCTGGGAGACAGAGCAAGACTCTGTCTCAGCGAGACTCTGTCTCAAAAAAAAAAACCAGAAAAATGGAAAAATCAGCCAGGTGAGGTGGCTCACGCCTGTAATCCCAAGAATCTTTGAGCGTCAAGTTCCCCATCAGTAAAATGGGGGTAAAAATACTCTCTGAAAACTGGGCGCAATGGCTTATGCCTGTTATTCTAGCACCTTGGGAGGCCAAGGTGGGTAGATCACCTGAGGTCGGGAGTTGAAGACCAGCCTGACTAACATGGAGAAACTCTGTCCCTACTAAAAATGCAAAAAATTAGCTGGGTGTGGTGGCGCATACCTGTAATCCCAGCTACTCAGGAGCTGAGAATTACTTGAACCCGGGAAGCAGAGGTTGCAGTGAGCCGAGATTGTGCCACTGTACTCCAGCCTGGGCAACAAAAGTGAAACTCCATCTCTTTTTTTTTTTTTTTTTTTTAAAGACGGAGTTTCAACGTATTGGTCAGGCTGGTCTCGAAGTCCTGACCTCAGGTGATCCGCCCGCCTCAGCCTCCCAAAGTGCTGGGATTACAGGCGTGAGCTACTGTGCTGGCTGTGAAACTCCATCTCAAAAAAAATAAACAACAACAAAAGAGGCCAGGTGTGGTGACTCATGCCTGTAATCCCAGTATTTTGGGAAACTGAGGCTGAGGCAGGTGGATCATGAGGTCAAGAGATAGAGACCATCCTGGCCAACATAGTGAAACCCCATCTCTACTAAAATACAAAAAATTAACCGGGAGTGGTGGTATGCACCTGTAGTCCCAGCTATTCAGGAGGCCGAGGCAGGGGAATTGCTTGAAACGGAGTTGGGCCGGGCGCGGTGGCTCAAGCCTGTAATCCCAGCACTTTGGGAGGCTGAGGCGGGTGGATCACGAGGTCAAGAGATCGAGACCATCCTGGTCAACACGGTGAAACCCCGTCTCTACTAAAACTACAAAAAATCAGCTGGGCCTGGTGGCGCATACCTGTAATCCCAGCTACTCAGGAGGCTGAGGCAGGAGAATTGCCTGAACCCAGGAGGCGGAGGTTGCGGTGAGCCGAGATCGCGCCATTGCACTCCAGCCTGGGTAACAAGAGCGAAACTCCGTCCCAAAAAAAAAAAAAAAAAAAAGAAACAGGGAGTTGGAGGTTGCAGTGAGTTGAGACTCCAGCCTGGACAACAGAGCAAGACTCCCATCTCAGAAAAAAGAAAAGAAAAATGGAAAAACCATTCTTAACTCACAGACCACAAAAAACAAAAACAAGAAAACAGTCTTCAGGATTTGGCTTGTGGACTGTAGTTTGCTGACCGTTTTTCTATTCTGGGACTCCAGGTGAAAAATGAGACTCTAGGTTGAAGTCCTAAGGTGGGGGTTTTGGGTTTCTGGGAAAGAATGATTTTTTTTTTTTTTTTTTTTTGATAGTCTTGCTCTGTTGCCAAGGCTGGAGTACAGTGGTGTGATCTTGGCTCACTGCAATCTCCGCCTCCCCAGTTCAAGCGATTCTCCTGCCTCAGCCTCCTGAGTACTGGGATTACAGGCGTGCGCCACCATGCCCAGCTAATTTTTGTATTTTTATTAGAGACAGGGTTTCACCATGGTGGCCAGGCTGGTATCGAACTCTTGACCTCAAATGATCCACCCACCTCAGCCTCCCAAAGTGCTGGGATTACAGGCATGAGCCACCACTGTGCCTGGCTGAAAGAATGATTTTTTTTTTTAGTGAAGAAAGTTGCCTAACAATGGAACTGGTTCTGGTAATGTGCCCCCATTGCTAGATGTGATTAAGGCAATGTCAGGGAATCTAGAGGTTTGACCAGAAGCCTCTAAAACCCCTTGGACTTGTGCTATTCAATGACTTTACTATGAGGTAACGAGAAGTATAATGTATCAAATTGCCACTCTTTTTTTTTTTTTTCTTTTTTGTTGGAGATGGAGTCTTGCTCTGTTGCCCAGCCTAGAGTGCAGTAGTGTCATCTCGGCTCACTGCAACCTCTGCCTCCCAGGTTCAAACGATTCTTCTGCCTCAGCCTCCTGCATAGCTGGGATTATAGGTGCCCACCACCATGCCTGGCTAATGTTTGTATTTTTAGTAGAGACAGGGTTTCACCATCTTGGCCAAGCTAATCTCGAACTCCTGACCTTGTGATCCACTTGCCTCAACCCCCCAGAGTGCTGGGATTACAGGCATGAGCCACCATGCCCGGCTGAGTTGCCACTCTTTATTAGGCGTTGTGTTAAGCCTCCCCCAAGTACAATCCTCCTTGGCATCACCACAGTCCTGTGAGATCTGTCCTATTCCATTTCACAAGGGAGAAAACTGAGGCTCAGTGTTGACATTTATAACATGGCCTGGATTCGGTAGGCCCTTAACTACCCTGGACACTTCCCCTGGATTCCTCTTGAACTATAGAAGCGTAAACACTTCTGGCTCATTCCATCATTTATTCTTCCAGTAGTTCTTTCCTGAGGAGCCAGTGAGTTAACACACCCAGGTTCTGCCTTAAGGAGCTCACAGCCTCTATTTTCTTTTTTACTTTTTATAGAGACAGAGTTTCACTCTGACGCCCAGGCTGGAGTGCAGTGGTGCGATTTAGGCCCACTGCAACTTCCACCTCCCAGGTTCAAGCAGTTCTCCTGCCTCAGC